ACATGTACATATATTATTCACACATATGTACAAGAATATATGTACTTAATCAATACATCTTGCTAGAATACCTAATCATTTATAATTTTAGAAGCAGCTTTTCTCAATCTATTCATCACTGCTAAACCTTCTTCAATCTCAGGCATACTTTGTGCTATAATATAATCAACCTTCTTTTCATCTAAATATCTTAAACCCTTGAACAATTCTTTTGCAATTTGATCTGGATGTATTAAATCACCCAGTGAATATTCAATAATCTCATCATTCTCATTTCTTTCATTATTATAATAAGTAAATCCATTCTTTTGAAAAGCTCCAAATGTTAATATTCCAATAACCATTTTTGATTTGTTTTCAATTTCTTTGATTTCATTAATTTCACGTTTTATAATATTTCTAACTTTATCATCGTCACCATCATTCTTAATAGTAACATCAATCAAAATAACTTTTGCATCAGGCGAATAATGCCTATATTTCATACCAGGTGTTGTAGGCTTCATTTCTAAATTTTCATCTATAAAATCTTTTTTATAAACTTTTAAATGTTCTAAACCTGGCACTCTGACCAATTGTTCAAAGGTTATACCTCCAGGTCTTAGAATAACCGGATATTTAGTAGTAGTTTCATCCTCTTTTTCATAAATTTTATCAGTGATCAGTTTTGTAATGTCTAAAACTGTTGATTCTAAACCAAAATCACATTGTCCACCATCAATTATCAAAGGAATCCTATTATTCAAATCATTATAAACATGATTAGCTAATGTAGGCGAAGGTTTACCTGATGAATTAGCTGATGGTGCTGCTAAAGGAAATCCACATAATGTAATTAAAGCCCTAGCTATATTATTTGATGGAAATCTTATTGCTACTTTATCTTGGCCGCATGTTATTTCATCAGGTATCTTATCAGTTTTTGGAAATAATAAAGTTAAAGGACCTGGCCAAAATTTTTTCATTAAAACATCATATAATGGTGACAGTGTAAATGAATTGGTGGTAATAGTACTTGTGGTGGTGTCATTATTAGTGTTGCTGGTGCTAGTAGGTGACAATAAATCGTACAACATTTTTAATGACGAAATATGTATAATAAGTGGGTTATCTAATGGTCGGTTTTTCGCTTGAAATATTTTTTTGATTGAAATGGGTGAAAGTGCATTTGAAGCAAGACCATATACAGTTTCGGTTGGTATTGCTACGACTTCATTTATACAAAGTAAATCTTTTGCTTCATTCAGTATTTTTATAGTTTCTGGGTTCGTGCATATAAATTTTGGATCTTTGATATCTTTATCCTCCACAAAAACAATTGTAGAAGGATCTATATTTTCTATTTTTGTTTGGATGTTTCTTGTCTGTAAACTGTTTTTATGCATAATAATAATTTTGAGATTTCTTAAAAAAGAAAGCATCTCTCTAAAAAAAATGTTCATTGTGTTA